GACTGATCTACTGAGTCGTCGGCCGGCGCTTCAACAATACTGTCGTCTTGTTCCCCATTTGGCTGCGCTTTCGCCGGTCGGCCGCGCTTCTTCGGTGCAGGCGCTTCCTCGACCTGTTCCGATTGATCTACTGAGTCGTCGACTGGCGCTTCGACGATGCTGTTCTCTTGCTCGCTAACCGGTTGCACCTTGGGTGGCCGTCCTCGTCGTTTCGGCGCAACAGGTGCTTCCTCAATCTGCTCAGATTGATCTATCGAGTCGTCCACGGGTGCCTCCAGTTCGCTGACGTCGGATACACGTTGTGACCGTCGGCGCTCGGCAGGCGTAGTCTTCTTGCTCTTGTGTGACTCCGCAGCTTGCGCTGCGGTAGGGCGGCCCCGTTTGCGCGGCTTCTCTGCTGGCTCCTGCTCCCCTTCTGAAACCTCCACAACATCGCTCTTTCGTTTCCTACCCCTCTTGGCCTTCTCTTTCGGTGGTTCTGGAACAATTTCAGACTCCTCCTCACGATCCAGCTCCTCAAGGTCCTCAACAATTTGGTCATCGGCCATGCTCTCTTCGCCTCCGATTTGCGCAACGAAACTCTCCTCAGCGGCTATTCCCAATTCATTGGCTGTGATTTCTTCCTGCACAATACTCTCTTCAAAGATCGCGCTCTCTGCCGGGCCCGGCGATTCTTCTTCCGGGATATCGTACACGTCTGATCGCTTTCCCCGTCGCGCGCCTGAGCCGCTCAAAGCTGGCGTCTCTTGTAAGCTTGATTCGTCCTGTTCGAAGTCGAGGCGTCGCGCAATCGGCTGTGCGGAGTCGCGGATGGGGCTGGATGGGGGAGGAGAGCTTCCCCTCGGCGCCATGGAGGATTGGCGTCGCGGCGAGGATCCGAGGTTGGTCTTCTTGGGTGATCGCGATCGGGGTGGAGGGAGGAGCGTTCGGTTGTTGCGCAAGATCTGGTGGGATGTGGTAAGTTCTGGCATTGAACCTGGCGGGCCTGTTAGTGACATCCCTCGCGATTGCGTCGACATCTGCGCACTCTCTTGTATTTCCATCGAGCCTGATCCTGTCGCATCATTCCCTTGTTTGGGTGGGGACCTCTCTGGCGACGAGAAGATGCCGGAAATCGGCTCGAGGCCATGTTCGTCGTATACGCCTTTGTCTGCGAGTGTGATGCCAGTCTTCCTGCGCAATGTTAGTTATTGTTTACGCGCATGCATTGGAGCGTCTCTCTGCCTACCTTCCCTGCACGCCAACGTTGTAGTAATTGTTTTCGCGCGCTTCGCGTTTCTTTGTGGGCGCCATCTTCAGAGTCGTGTCCGCAGGGAATGAATGCGCGTGTTGGTGCGGGTGACGCGTCGGTGGTGTCGCGGGTGATTCGCGAGGGCACTGTCGATAAGTTGTTTGGGTTTAGGCGGGATGTAAACTAACCGTTAACGGCGGGAAGGCACAGGGTCTTGGCGTCTTCCCCTCCAACTCCAACCCGCTCATCGCCATCACACGCCTGAGGCCATCACGAGATGTAGTACAGCGTTTATATCCATTTCTTAGTCTAATGCAATCTGTTCATTGTGACTTTGACATGTCACTATCAGGAGTTCAGTTGCCCAGTGTGACATCACGGAGCCACCCAAGAGTACATGCATGGCAGCATCCCACCCACCGTGACAAACTAGTTTAGCGCACATCCATCACGGTGCATGAAAACGGCGCAGTATAAGTTGAGGAGCCCACCCAATCGTGGGAACTTTTCCGGTTTCTTCATTCAACCTCAGCCGGCTCTCAGTTGCTAATTCGCATCCCAGACACCAGTCATCCGCCAAAACGAGAGAACACCTCGCTCTCCTACAGCCACAGTCGTCGTGCAGACCACGCACTGCTTCATTCATTGCTCGCATCAAGCATCCGCTCTCCCATCCACCCACATTGTATCTCCCACCAAACGCTCTTCCTGGATCAAGACTTTTTCCCATAACCAACTCTCTTGACGTACAGCCAAAACAGGAAAAGGCCGTCCAATCATGCCCGGGCGACGATGTGCTTTTCGTGAAGCGTCGAAAAACGGCAGCGAGCCGCTGAATGAAAATATACAAGAAAAGAAATCGTAAGCATGTCGATGATTCGTCACATCGTGGGCGCAATCTCCAACGTCGTTCATGCTATCAGAGCGACTTGGAAGTTCGAAACTCGTTCCAGATCAAAACATCGACGGCATCTGGAACACCCTACTGGGGGCAGGCGCTCTGGACGTGGCCGGGCTGCTTGCAGCGGTAGCACACGCGCTCAGATGAAGTCTCCTGGGGGCAGTCGCGCGACAGATGGCCAACCTCGCCGCCTACAAAAGGTTAGTCATGCTCTTCCGAGTTCGTCGCTGTGTACTTACAGTTGTAGCACTTCTGTCCCTGGGTGCAGTCACGGCTCATGTGACCGAAACCACCGCACGAATAACACGTGGTTTGGCGAGCACCTCCGTAGCCACCGGCACCACCACCGTAGCCTCCACGACCGCCGCCGTAGCCGCCAGCAGCACCGCCGTAGCCGCCGCCCTGGGAGCAGTTGCGGGCGATGTGACCGACCTGGCCGCACTTGTAGCACTCTTGGCTGGGGGCGCCACGGCCACCCATCTGGGCACCGCCGTCCTTGGTGCACTCGCGCGAGATGTGGCCGGTGCCACCGCAGCGGTAGCAGGTCTTCTCAGCCTGGGGAGAGGTGCACTCGCGGCTCACGTGGCCCTTCTCGCCGCAGTTGTAGCAGGTTGGGGTACCCTTGGTGGGGCACTCGGCAGCACGGTGAGAGGAGTCTCCGCCTGGACATGGTCAGCGCGTGTTCAAAGATGCAGTTCCGAGTCAGGCATGGTGGTCTCCGCGCTTGAATACCGATCTGGACCTGTCGCTGGACCCTGAGGCGTCACGCTCTCGCGATCTGATATACAAAGCGGGGCCGCATTCGGACCGTGTCACCGCATCGTGGGTATGGAATCAACTTACAGTTGTAGCAGCCACGGCCACCGGCAGCGGGAGCAGGTGCTTGGTAATCCATTTTGTAGAGTTGGAAGACTGGTGAGTGTTAGCTGTAGTCCGCACGCGCCATGCCATGATGTCTGGCTTTGTTCTTACCGGAGTATCGAAAGGGTAAGGGAGTGACGTTAGAAGATGACTGTCGTTTAAAATGGTATCCAAGAGTCGTTGAAAAGTCGCACACCACCAATTGTTTTGTTATCGGAAGCTGAGGGGTTGGATCGTTGGAGAGAGAGAGCGAGGGGCACAAAGTCGACTGCTGAAAATATCTGTTCGGGCTGGGTTGTGCTTGCCGCTAGTCTAAGCGAAATACGGTCTAGCTTCACCGTTCATTCTTGCCTTCAAGGTGGGTCTGGTGTTTGCGCAAAATCAGGGACGGCGGCGCCGTGGTTTGTGTTCCTGTAGGGGTCCGGAACAATAGGGCTTTGATTTCACGCACAGTGCAGATATGCGCGTGATTGGAACTGCTGTTCATGGTACCTAAGTCGGCTTCGACGTCATTGGAAGGGGAAGCATCGCTTGACAGGCCTCGTGCAGATCTCGGGATGCATATGCAGCTAACCTGGCGTGGAAAGATTGAGTAACCGAACGATCGCACACGTGGCTGCATGTAATATTGATGCCGAGGCACGAACTGGTGGTCAGAGAGATGAATATTCTACACCGACAGCAAATACAAAGGAGTGATCGGAATGTGCTGTGTTTGGAGGTGTTCTCGTGCTGACGTCCGAGACCATCAGCATACCTAGGTACGCATTGAATGGACCCGTGCACGCAATAGTGCGTCAAGCAGCGTTCGCAAAATCATCTTCATGTTCCTGAGGTAGACCCTGAGATCTCGGAAAGATATTTCAATGTTCTAGACCCGCGCAAAAAATTAGGTGGTGTCGTGACGTCCCCACTTCTGCCCAAAACCGAAAAAAACCTACCATCTCTCCACCACCCACATCAGCACCACAACGAGAACAAAAAATGTTGCTCATGCAACGACGAGAGCAAAAGGATGGACGATCAGGGAATCGAACCCTGGACCACTCCCATGCTAAGGGAGTATTATACCACTAAACCAATCGCCCGATTTTGCACTTGCGGCTGTTGACGCAACTCGAAGAGCTGCTTGTTGATGGAGGATTTTGAAATTAATACCTTCATAATCGAGGTTCAAGCAGGCGCAGGATGAGTTACAGACCTGGTTGACAAGATGCGAGCTCTAGTAAAGATGTGGGTTAGTAGCACACATCGTGCGAGGGTATTCACGCAGACCCACTCCCAAGAAGACAGCCCCTCCATGTTGTCTCCGGGAAATCCTTACTGCTTACCTATGGATATGTCAAACCCTCAGGAATGTACGATATAGCCAAGGTTTAGATGATAAGTACTTATCGTATTCGCCTACGCATGCTTTGCGACATACCATAGCGCGGGGATAGGGGCTTTGTTTACACTATGTCACTTCCAGCGCAGTATCTTGGTGGCACCAACATGCTGTCAGTACGGGTTTTGTACCTGCCTATGTTAACGTAATTTCAGGACGTCATCGACACTCCATGAGCGATAATTCAGTGGCGAGGATCCACCCATACGCCATACGGTAGTGTCCTCTTCCTCGAGCCCGGCCATGGAGGCACGAAACCCAATGAGAAGGGTCCTGTTTCAGCAAAAGCGTGTTTCCGGAAAGAAACGCCGCCAAACATGTTTCTGGGAGGAAACGCTGCCGCTTTCACAGGCAAGTGACAAGCAAACGCGGGAGTAATCCCTGTTTGCGACACCTGCAGCGTCTCGAAGACACTGGACTATGAGCAAAAGAATCGCCCCGAAGGTGTTTCTAGAGCTCTAGTCATCCTTGGAGAAGGATATCTGCTTCAGCAAAGGCGTGTTCCCGAAGGAACGCCGCCCGCGCATTCACAGTCTGACGAGTAACGCGGGGTTGTGAGCCCCTGTTTGCAACATCAGCAGCCACAATGATACAAGAAACGCCCCGAAGGTGTTTCCATCCTAAGCATGCCAGCTGTTCCACTTCTCCAGCTCTTTGAATGTGATGAAGTCCTTCCACTCATCACTGTCTTTGTTCTTGAAGTCCACTGGATGTCGAGTGAACAATCCACGAGGGCTCTTTTCCCTTGAATCCGGGTAGAAACGACGCGGTCGCGCTTCATTGAGGTTCCGCCGCTCAAGCCAGTCGACAAGTCGATTCATCTTTGGAATCCAGATGTCAAGATCATGATACCAGAAGCGATGCCATATCCACGTTTCTTCGCCATCGGCAGCCTGAAGGGCACTCAAGCGAATACCGAGTCTACGAGCGGGATCGTCGTATTTGGCGGGAGAATACATACCACCAATAATTGTATGGGGATGCTTCTCACCAGCGGGAAGCAAATCGCAGTGGACGCGAAGTGTGTCCGGCATGATGCGGCCCAGGAAAAAGTCTGAGACGGCGAATTGACAGCCGCCAAAGTATACGAGGCTCTCGCCTTTGTCGTAACTTGTCGTGATCTTGCCAGTATAGAGGTCGCCGCGAAGAAGCTGCTCTACGCGTGGCTCGGGCGCAGCCGTCTTTCTCCATGCGAAGTAAGCCAATTTATGAGGCTCGCTCGAGTACCGAAAGGCAACATTCTTCGAAGGGTAGTCGCGAAACCCAAATGGCTGCGCCAACGGATCACGAACGTTTATCCCGCGTTGCATTTTTGACGCCGGAATCTGCCGAAGGGTTTCCCCGGACAATTGCTGTTGCAGATCCATTGGTTGAAGAGAAAGAAACATCAAGCAGAACCACTGCTCCAAGATGTTCATGATAGGCCCAGGAGTGAGCGCGACGTCCGAAACAGGGAGGCAACAGTACACCGCAGAAGCACGCTCCCAAAGGTAGTATAGGAAGCATGGAATATTACGGCGGTAAACCGGATTCTCGTGGCAGCTAGCAAGCCGTTTCTCTCCATCCCTGGCCTGGCCGGCATAGAACCACGGCTCGTCATCCACGATCAAAACGAGAACGTAGATGACACCATGATCGGGGAAGTCCAGAGTGATATGGTCTGAAAGTCTACATTGGTTAGCATATGACGACACCAGCAGAGAGCTATAGACCCTGTATATTTACGAAGGGAGTTGGGTAAGGAATTGAAGCGACTTTGAGAGGTAAGGAAGCGACGCCAAGTCAGGCAATATAACAAGACAAGGAGGTGAGTAGTGTGAAGCAGGGAAGAGAGAAGGAGTGTAGTATGTATGGTGGCTCAAGCTGGAGCTACTGTAACATACGATTCGGGTTCTCTCAGCTTCCCAGTCGCCGAAAGCTCAACCACCCAGTCCGGAAGAAAAGACTGGCATTGCGCAATAGCGCTGTCCGGATCGGCTAGCTCATTCTTATAGTAGTCCGCCACGACACTACTCGACTCGCATTTCTCGGGGAGCACGACCTTCACGAGGTGGTCGAGGATGTAGGAGGGGTGCAATGCGTCGACGGGGGAAGACATGATGAAGCGTACGTAGTATATTGAAGAGAGGTAAAGGATACAGAATGGAAGAGGTCGAAGGGAAGATGCAAAGCAGTGACCAGCATCCTGCGATGAAGATGAAGGAAACGGCTTCCATGGTATTCTCATATGAGCTGCTGGCACTTCATCCTCCTCACTGTGGCCTCCACCGCCCAGTTCTGCCATTCTTATTGTCTTCACCGTCCCGAAAGGAATACCGGCAGTACAGAATACGATGGAAGCCCGTCTGCATCATCACTGTCACGCAGGCCAAGAACTGAGTTCGTACGCATCGAGAAGGAACAAAGTTAAGAACCCAAGGCGAGACTACAAACTTCGATCAATTCAGGGTACGTGAAACTTGCTCGTTCATTGCTGCCAGCTTTTATCACCACTGTGGTATACTTCTAGAAGGCCGGCAAAAGGTGCGCTTCCGCATTTCCAAACGACAGTAGTACGGAACACCGCAGCTGTGCAACTCACGTACCATGCGTAAGAGCTTACCTTCAAGGACTTTGTGTAACCATGTGTCCCATGAAGCTCGAAATGTACCAAACTTCGACGTTCAGGGGCTTTGCTGAGCGAAGACTGCTTGAGGTGAGGCAGGGGTTTGGACTTCACCTTCACCATCGAACATCACTGAATAGAGGATAACCCCCTAATAGCGATGAATATTTCGAACAAGTTTTCGAGGCGACTTACCCTTCTCATCTCCTAGCAGATACACAAGCTCACGACCGCAATACCGCAATCGACACGACTTCGCGCACACCTTCGGTGGCATCCTCCTCAAGAAGACCTTCGCGCGCGCGTTTGCCGCCGCCACTACCTTCGCACACGCCCAGCCTTCGTCTCCCTCGATCTCTCCCTGTGCCCTTAGGCAGCATACTATACCTGACCGCCAACATGTCTGGCAACGTAAGTGTCTGAAGCCTGTGTGCTGGTGTCTACCGCTTTAGGAAGCACTGAAGCGCAAACTTCTGACCTCAATGAATACGACTAACGCGTTTGACCTAGAAGAATTCGTCAAGCAACGCTCCGGCGAAGCCTTCGCCTTTCGAATGGGTGAGCGTCATCTCCTTTCACACCAACCTGCGTCAAATGCATCGTCTCTTCATCCTTTCTGAAGACAGCCATAGCCTCATGGTACCCTTGTACGGATTTTCAGAGCTGACACACTATGTAGAAACGACTTCGCGATGCGCAAAAGCAGAGAGCAAAGAACGAGAAGGAGAAGAAAGACAAGAAGGACAAAAAGGAGAAGCAGGAGAAGAAGGAAGAGCAGCCCAAGAAGAGGAAGGCGGAGGATGATGGAGATGATGACACGACTGCACCGCCCGCGTAAGTGCAATCGTCTGCCGTCCAAACGTCAGCATTAACGACTTTTAGCAAAATGACTACTACGCAGAAGCGCAACATTCGCGCGCGTAGGATAAAGAAGAATGCTGCCGAGCAGAAAACGTCGGTCGAGCAAAATGCAACTGAGCGCATGGACGTTTCGGGCGAAGACAAGGTTGAGATGGTGTTGCCGTCGCGTCCCGCGGCTTCACAGCCATATAGACCTCCTGGTAAACTCGATGCAGCGTGGGATGATGAGAGGAAAGGCATCTTCAAAAAGTCGGAATGATGACCAGAGCTGAGAATGGTCGCGCGGAATGGAAGGAGTTGACCTTGTAAATAACGATAGACACCTGCATCGTGTGAGGGTATTCACGAATAAGACCTACTTCCAAGCAGATTGACCCTCCGCTCCGACTCAAGAAAAGCATCATTGCGTATCTGTACATGATGGAGAAGTCTACGTGTTCGTCCTGCCTGTTCGTAAAGGACATGTCAGTCCCTCAATCCACATCCAACGACGTAAACATTGCGACTTCTTCATGAAAGAACTTGACCTCGTGCCTTTAGATAACGCAGAAGTCTGCAATGCTCTTTGATAGACCGAGATGAGGTCTTGAAGCATGGATAAGATGTTGCGATAACTATGGAACATGTGAGCGAGTGGGTATCGTCGAATATATGTCCAAGGCTGATATAGCTCTCGACCAGTGTCAAAAAGATCGCAAGGATTTGCATCTAACGACTACGATGGTCTTGTTACTTTTGACTGTGATGGGACTGCGGAGGCAGGCGTATACAAACTAATACCTTGTGTACAAACTAAGTAGCATATTGAGAGTTAAAGCATGCATCGTAGTAAGAACGTTGCAGGTTAAATTGAACAACAAGTGTTAGAGCATACATCGTCTTCTGTCGTGCCGGTTTCTCGACAACAGATACCGCGCATATCTCTACGGCAGGTTATCCGGAAATCTGTCCAGGTAAAGGCAAAGTGATTCTAGGCAGTGTAATCCTAGAGAGTGTAAAATTGGTATGAAGATGTCTTGTGGGGATGTAAGCAGCGTCCTGGACTTTAACTACCAGCGCTAGATGCGTGATAGCAGAAAACAATGTGAAGTAGAAGACCGCCTTAAACACCTTGGCCAAGATGTGTTGGGCTATGCTCTCGAACATGTCTCAAGTGGCACAAGAGTTAACTACAGTAGTCTCTTCGCCAGGCTTGCATGTCTGTCATAGCATAGAAGTAAGCCGCACTCAAGAGACTTAATAAGACAGTCGTGCAATGCAAGTAGAGCTCACGTCTGTAAGCAGACTATGGCGTCAACGGGCGCCAGAACGATTGCCGTTCGATTTACCCGTGGCAACTCGTTCTAATAATAGAAAATGTCTAACAGTACAACGGCAAAGGTACGGTATTGTATGAAAAGCTAGCGAGTGTTTTGTAGTATAGTAACAGCGCCGAACCTTAGAGAGCTAGCACAGCGCCTCGTTATAATAAAGACAGGCGAAGAAGAGGCCATGCTAAGTTTCTTCATATCAACCAGCGCGCCATACCGCTAGGTCTCAGCGCGAAGAGAATTTGTTGCCTATGTCTTACCAGACATGTTCCAGGACGTACAACTATGCTTACGCATGCGAGCTTACTTTGCATAAGCATACGCGCCACATTTTTCTAACTTCGCATAGAGGATGTATACCACGCGTTAATAAAAAGATCGACTAAAAGACACGTCTCTGCGCTCCATCTGCACAACGTAGGAAGCGCGCTATGCTTAATTAGTCCAGTGTGGAAAAGACTTGCGCACGAGTATATGAAGAACGAACATAAGCAAGCCCGAGAGGCTACTGACGCAAACTACGAGTTGGCCTAGCTTCAAAGTAGAATTTTATGTTTCTCGCAGCCCCCAGAACAAGTAGAACGGTTGTCAGTAATGCAACATCAAACCGTTAGTCTAGGTACTTGTGGCACGCTGTTTTCTTCCAGCGCTATAACCTGCACACCTAAAATATACACAAAACATCTACAAACAGACAAGATAGGTATGTTAAGAGATATACTGACTGCGCGAGTATACCAACGCGCCCAGCTGAATGAGTCCAGCCCGAAGTTTAGCAACAGCCAGGCAGGGCATGGAAAGACATCGCAGATCAGCACGAAGTTTTGGTTATGCAGACATATCGAGGCGCCGAGTGTAGTGACTTCAACGCGGGAATATACCAACTGTGTCAATGTGGATGAAGAGAGAGAAGACAGCAGCAGGTGGGAGAAGATGATACACGATATCGTAGATGCACTGCGCTCGTTCTGATGATGTGACCGAGCAGTAAGGCCGTCGCATTCACAGATAACACATTGTATCTTCCACGCACTACTGACTTCTAGAACACTCTCACAAGTTCTCAAAATCAGGATCCTCATCGCCATCGTTCTCTACCTCCTTCTCCTCAGCCTCCTCCTTCAATCACAGCCCCTCTCAGTGATGACGCTCAAGGTGAACCAGCCACCCGGCTGCGGTCTGGTACGACCAGTTTGGGCACAAGGGACACGACGCACTCTCTGTGCATCCGGCAACCTTCAACTCGTTGAACGCCCTTATGAGCTCTTCGCGTCGCGTGTGTACCTTCCACTTCATACGTTTCTCGAGTTGCGCACGGTTCCCTTTCTTGTCTGTGGCGGTCTGCGACATCGTTTGATCGAACCGGCAGCGACAACACTTCAAGCTAGAAATGGCCTGACTTGTATGCGCACTGAAGGCCCGAAGGAAGGCTAGGCGTTCTTCTTTTGTAGCCGCATCGCATTCCCCAACCCCATCAGCAATGTTCACATCAATGTCCTCCTTTAGTAGATCTTGCCAATGCAACGGCTCACCCCGTGGGTGTTGCTTGTCGTTGTTTTCCTCGAGTGGATCCACGTCCAGACCCTCTTCCTCATCAGCACCCAGCTCGGTTATCTCATCCTGTTTGTTGCGCCGTTTCAAGGCCCCGAGAACGCTCATACGCTCAGTGTAGAGACCCTCAAGCTCAGTCTGGGCATGTTTGGCCTGTTAGCGGATCGATGATGATGCACCACCTTTACCGGCGATCAGTCCTGTATTTGTTGACTTGGTGGAAGTTTTCGGCAAAGATCGCATCTCTTGAGCAAACTCTTCCAGTACAAGGTTTCTTAGACTCTTGCGGATCTTCTTCAGTACCACTTTTCGCTTGTAGGAGACAGCCTCAAGCTTCTTGCGGACACCCCCAGTTGCAGAGTCTCCGCCTCTCAACGTGACCTTGTAAGCGTCAGGGACACTGCCGGTATAGCCTCACGGTCTGGGTGTATCATCGGCGCTGTTGCGTATCAGGAACTCGCGCATGTTGTCGATCGTTGTCTTGAAGGAACGAACCATCTCGGCCAACTCGGAGTCTTCTCGCTCGCGTTCGCGCAACCGCTCTTCGACCTGAGCGCGAAGCGTCATCTCGTAGTTCTCGTGCTGTACGTATCCTGTCTGAGCTGCCTGCTCAAACATCTTTCTTGCTTCTCGCCGACTCATCTGCAAATCTGAAGTTAGTATACCTAGATGCCTTCCAAGCGCAAAGCCTTGACTGACCCTCTCTCTGCCTAGTATGTAGGACTGGATATCGATGTCACCGACGCCGACCGCATCGTAGCATTCGTGGGCGTTCGAGTCGTCGGCATGTGCTGCAATTGCCCGCGCCGCCGCCTCTCCGTGTTCACGGTTGGTTTCGACGATACGTGTTCGACGAAAGCAATACATTGTATTGCGTTGTGGAAAGCCGGCGTCAATGCAAGCCTCGCGCAGGCGACGATTCAGTGCATCAGACTTCATCGGCTCCCCAGGCGTAATGATGCTGCGACTGTCAGCTGCGAAGAAAACTACTTGGTTCAAATCAACGGGATCAGTCTTGACCCAGGCAGCGTCCGTGCGAAGGATGTAAAAAGCTCGTTACATCAGGAGGTACCCAGGTAGTATTGCTACCTTCACTACATTATCAGCCGCTAGAAGTTTCTTGCCAAGGTAGCGAGGAGGTCGTCAGCTATGGATGGAGCAACGCGGCTCTTCCCCCAACATCTGTGTAGTTGGCACGCTAGTCTTGCAATAGTAAATTCATCGACGTTAGCGTTAGATGTAGTCAACACAGTGCTCTACTGAAGTGGTTTTGTAGATGATGGGAGTTGATGTAGTCAGCAGGAGGGCTCTACAACTGCAATCTTGTCGGATACAACGTCGATGTAGCAGCCTGCCAATTGTATTTTTTAGCATCCTTCCAAGATGGAGCATCACTCCGCGGACCCCGACTAAAATATATAGCGCATTAAGCTAACGAAGTCCTTGACATATCTCGCGACATTCATCCCAACTTCGGCGCCGTCTGACCACTCACCCTCCCGGTCCTTGTCTTGCTTTTATACATCGCCCATGGCATTCGATGCGTCCTTTGGAAATGATACGGGAACGTCCCAGTGCGAGGGCTCATTGTGTGCTGACGGGAAGCTCACTTGGCGCCGGAGTGGGGCTTCCTCGATAATGCTGAGATCCATGCTGCTCTCCACCAGTACATCTCTGGCAACGTCCTTCCAATTGTCACCGATCTTCTCGAACCACGATCTATCGCCAGGTAGATTGTACGCGTGCATAACGATGGTCTCGTCAATACCAAACTCTTTGAGGTTCGCGCCGGTAGCTGCCATTGTGACGCCTTTCAAGTCTTGGATGCAGTCGTCCTTGTACAAATTGAGGATATTCTGTGCCTCTTGTGGTGTAAAGGATCCTGGTGCTTTCCCTGCGTACTGTTTCTGTGTCTGCGGGTGAGTCCAAATGGATGGTTGACAGATCCTCCCTGCAATCGCCTTCGATGCTTCGAACGCTGCTTCGGAGTTCCAAAGTAGCTTTTGCGCTCCGTTGAAGAGAGTTTGGCGCGAGTCGATTACTTGGCGGCATGCGTTCTTCTCGTTGCTGTCTTGGTCGACAAGGGCAGAGATGTGTTCATGTCTGAGTGCCATATATGTTTCGGCCAGCCTGTCGTATTCTTTCGCCATCTGTTCTGTTGTCCAGGACTTCAGGTGGGATTCCGCAAAGTTCATACCCTGGGGATCGTATGATTGCATTGCGACTGGGTACTTGATATCGATTCCGTGTTTCACCTACGAAGTCAGTATATGTTTACGAATATTGCGCCAGAACTTACCTCTGCGTCATGTCGCTTGTTTCCTCTGTCCGCGTTCTCAGGTGTGGGGTATGCTGCGGATGGTGGAAGGGCTATCGTTTGCGCTACTTCGAGAGGAGCAGGCGCGGTAGGCTTTGTGGGCTCAATCGCGATGCTCTGCTCAACAGGAGTGTTCGACGGGAAGCTGATATCAATAGATGCCGTAGGTGCGCCATGTCTGGGTGTGGAAGGCGCGTGATCATCAATGGAATGTGGTGAGCTTGTTGTTGGTGTTGGAGATGGCGCGCTGACTTGCGCGCCATTTCCGGCCATGGCGGCGTCTGGGGAGATCGTCACCGCTTGCGATAGGAACTGTCTGGTGTTGTAGGTTGCTGAAGTGGTTTTGCTTGGGCAGCGCTCTTGCAATACTAGTCAGAGCTTGTGCAGATGATGGTGCAGATGAAGAAGTTGGAAGTAGTGGGTTGAAAGAAGGAGTGATGGAGGAGATGTGCGAGAGTTATTGTATTTGTATGCGCTGCTTGATGCTGTTGCAGGTTGCAGGTGAGAGAGCTCCGGTATCGCGGTGGAGCCTGGCACGTGACGGTGGAGTGCGGGCTATCACGTGCGGGCACTGGCAAGATAGCCACCATGTACACGTACCTAGGTACCCTGTATGAGGTCTGCTAGTCTTATAAGTTTCTTCACATCTGTATATGTTCTCCCAATGGTGTATATATATAGCCTTGTCTTGTTTGTTCGGTCCAGGTTCCCAGGGGCTGGGTATGACTTGAAGGCTGCCGTTGATGAGTTTGAGCGAATGCTAATGGTTGGCCTCGGGCCTGCTGTAATATGTGCGAATGTCAATCATCTTGGATGTGGTCTTAATGCTCCCTTCACGATCGTGTGGTACCCAAGTAGCTGCGGATCATGGTGTTGGTGCCCAGAAAAAGCTGCGCACCGTCGCTCATCATATCATGTATCCGTGGATATTGGCTGCAGACGTGGCGCATTTGGATGACAGCCAGTGCAGTATGATGCTTTCGCACTAGTAAAGCTTAGTTGTGTGAATTTCAGAATGTAAGATCTTGGGTAAATGATTCTAGGCAATGTCTGGACTGCGCAGGCAATGTCTGCGTATGTGCTAATCGTGTTCTGATCCTAAGGTGTAGTAACAACATAAGTTCGTGCTGCTTCCGATCGCGGAGCGCCTGCCTGTGAATACCTAGGTAAAGGTAAAGGTAAAGGCAGATGAGGCAGGGTGGCGAAAAGACAGCAAAACGACAGCGAAAGGAGGCAAAAGTTGACGCCAAGTGGGGCAAGGGGGGAAGGACGTCGCGGTATGTGCGTGATAGCTGGACTAGCGGTGTAGCACGTGGTAGCTCTGTTGCGCTGGTTGACTTTCCAGTTTCGGCACGGCTGTCCCTTGCGAGGATGTATGTTAGATGACAGCAGTGCTTACTCTTTAGTAGTGTACGATTGCAAAGGCCTTGCATGTTTGCTTTCGTAAGCTTTACTGTAGTGATCCGCCAAAGGCCCTGACCCATGTATACCTAGGTACCCCTCAAGTCTTCGCGCCGATACCTATCAGCTACGGCGCTACTCGCGTCCACTCGACTGCTTTGGCCACGCCCGGGTGGTAAGTTGCCCATGATAACGATTCTGCGACGGTTTGTACTTGTGGAAAAACCAGGTAACAGGGCGGTATCCAGGTATTGAACGAGGAATCTGGCCTTATCGGCGTTTGCGGCAGTAGTAGTAGTAGATAGAATCTGTGATGGATCAGTCGTGATCATCAAAACTTCTGTAACTCGAATAGCGTTTCCAATCATCACTGTAACGCCTTCGCGACCTTGCTATTGTTGGTGGTAGATCCACTCGGTAGACGACTAAAGCTTTCGGATTCAACGAGTCGGCAGCATCTATTCCCTGTCCTATGTCTTGATGAAAAGATCGGATTCCTAGTTTGTAACCATTTTAGATATAAGCACGAGACCTTGCAGCACCTGAACGCAGCTGGCTCCGAACGAGTTGCTGCCAAGCGCGGTCGATGACCGCATCAATGTAATCGACCGGAAACGACGAACAGCGATGCAGAGAGGCCATACTGCTCGTGCCATAGTGGAGGTGGTCGAGAATGGAGTGTTTTACTTGTGGAATCCGTGAATACCATTGCTCGTAATGCGAGCACAGCATTATGCCATTATGTTTCATCGGGGACACCATCAGACGACGAGTTCGAAAATTACCTGTGGATTGCTCGATCAGAGGTGCAAAATGCGAGCAAAGTGGCAACGGGAGTGGCTGAATATCGTGTCACATTTTATCTTGCTGCATACGCACTATTAAACGTGAGCAAATGAGTTCTTCTAAGGACAATGTATACCTCAATATTGATGAAGTTTTGGCGGAATGCGATACGAATTGCAGTCACCCCTGATCTTAGCTGGCGGAGCGTTGAGAGTCGAGATTGCTCCGTCGTAGAAGTGATCGCATTGGGCCGATGTCAATGGGCTTGCCAAGTATTCCTTCCAGGCGTCGATTTTTCAAATCATGTGTTGTTGAGAATGTAAGACTGCGCCGTGGTCTTGGTGCGTTGGCATGTTGGCGTGTCCTGATCACTATTGTTCATCGATACCGAACGAGCCGCTCGAACGACATGACGAGACTGCTGCGGATCCGGGGAAAGTGAGTCTTCGCGGGGTAGTCTGTCGCGGGGTATCGTCCGATTTACGTTCATGGTGTTTTTTGATATCGAACTTAGGTATCGGACTGGGTTTCGTTTTCGAGATGGTGTTGCGTGTCTGTCGATAAGCTGTCCAAGGCCCAGAGTAAGTAAGATTACGTAGTCTTTGGAGAATGGTTCTGGAGCGCGTCTGTACTGAACCAAGCTCCGATAAAACCATCAGACCACGTGCTGTAGCAGCCAATCGTGGGAGATGTAGAGAAACGCGCTCTCCGCGCGATATTGGCGGGCACATATCGTGGAAGAAGGCGTAGGTAACGTGAACACGCGAGGCTGTCTGTGTCAACGTCCGTGCTGTCGAGCACAGTGACAGTGTCACGGCAGCCCCGAAGCTTAACGAGAACAATGGCTTTTGTCGATAGTCCGGAAGCGAAGGAAGAAAGTCACATCATTTCCACAAGATGAGAATGCGAGTGTGGTTCAGCTGCACCTGACATTCTCGGCTATCGTCTCGTTATCGCGTAATGACATCAGAGTTATCCGTGGATACCTTGCGCAACATCGCTAGGTAATCACCTTTATCGCCGCGCAATACGGTAAATACGACAGAGTTCGTTCTGCGACAAACTTCAGGATACGAACCGTTGGCCCCTCGCCTAAAGCTGCACGCCTATGCTTTTTGCCTTTTCGCCAGACGTTGTTGGAGAGCTGTGGCAACTCAGTTACTGATCAGTAGTGCTGGGTAAACCGCGGGAACTCTGCATCAGTTCATCCGAACCCAACACCGTGTTTCGAGACAACGGCGCCGAAGTATT